GAATAAAAAATCCCTTGTGATACTGTCCCCTTTAAGTACTTCAAAACATGAATCAAGCCATCCCAGTGATCAGAGCACGGATTCTGAACAAATCTACTCAACTGCTAAACAGTAAAGGCTATATCAGGCCTGGTAAAACCCAAGTACAAGAGCTGACCAACAAGCTTCCTGTACTATGATGCATTTTCCAATGCTGGTCCTGGTTTATTAGAAAACTAATGCCCTTTTGGCAAGGGTGTAGTTGTAGGCTTGCATCCATGTAATATTGTCACTATAAGAATATCAAGGACATACTTCCTTTGACTCAAGTACATGCCATAAACAGATCTGGCTATTTCAATTCCCAGAAAATATTTTGCATATCCCAAATCCTTTATGGTGAACTGATCATGCAAGAGAGCTTTAACCTTCATAATGTAATAAGGATGTTATCCACATAAACCACCAATGCCAAATAACTATCATCATGAATTTTGGTGAATAAGCAAGGATCATTTTGAGACTGCAAGAAACCATATTCATGTATCATCTTGGTGAATTCCTCATTCCATTGTCTTGAAGCCTGCTTCAGGCCATACAGAGATCGTTTTATCTGCAAACTCGGTTTGATCTTGCTTTGGTATATCCATCAGGTGGCTTCATAAACACTTCTTCATCCAAATACCCATGCAAGAATGCATGATTTATGTCTAGTTGATGCAAGGACCATTTCTGAGCTGCTGCAAGTGCTAGGAGCAGTCGTACTGTAACCACCTTAACCACAGGCGAATAACTATCAAAAAATCTTCTCCCTCCACCTGGTTATAACCTTTTGCCACCAGGCGTGCTTTAAATCTATCTATGGTGCCATCAGAGTGCAATTTTACCTTGTATACCCATTTACACCCTATAGCCTTCTTACCAGGTGGCAACTCAGTTAATTTCCTTGTTTGATTTGCTTCCAAAGCATCAATCTCAGTTTGCATTGCTTCCACCCAAATAGGTTGAGTCCTGGCTTGAGCATAACTACTTGGTTCTTGAATTTTATCAACAGTGGTGAGAAATAATAGATGGCTATCTGAGAATGTAGAGGGTATGTAAAAAGGATATGAAAGAGGTGTATAGGGTGATGATTGGGGCAGATTGATAGAACTAGAAGAAGACAAAGCTGTTTGAGGTTTATAAGCATCAAACTCTTTCAACCATTCAGGTGGTTTACTAAGTCTGGAACTTCTTCTTAAAGGGTGTGGAATGACTAGTTGCTCAAGAGAATCTGATGTGTGATTTGTATGATTACTATGAGAAGATGGATTATTTTCTCTGACTGTTGAAGGATTTGGGAAAGAGGTTCCTGATGAAGTAAAAACTGGCCAAGATTCATTTTGATTAGGAATAGAATCTGAAAATGAAGGTGAGTAGGATGATTCTCCTTGCTTAAAAGGAAATATTTTCTCTTGAAATATCACATCTCTGGATATAAAGGTCTTTTTGGCTGACAGATCATACAATTTGTATGCTTTCTGTCCAGGAGGGTAACCAAGAAAAATGGATTTGATTGCTCTATTGCTGAATTTATCCTTGGAAGGTAGTATATTAGTGGCATAGCACAAGCTACCAAAAACTTTGAGATTATTGAAATCTGGGAGTTTATTGTGGAAAACTTCATAAGGGGTTTTGAAGTCTAACACAGAAGAAGGTGTTCTGTTTATGATATAAGTGGCTGTCAAAATGGCATCTCCCCAGAAATACTTAGGCAGTGAGGATTGTAAAAATAAAGCTCTTGCTACTTGTAAGAGATGCCTATGTTTCCTTTCTACTACACCGTTTTTTTGAGGGGTGTATGGGCTTGATTTCTGACGGATAATACCTAAATCATGAAACAAGGTTTGGGAATGGTGACTAAGGAATTCTGTCCCATTGTCTGATCTAAGTTTTTGAATCTGTTTGGAATATTGAGTTTTAACCATATTGAAAAAAATACCCAAGATATTGAAGGTTTGTGACTTGAACTGCATGAAAAAAGTCCATGTAGTTCTGCTAAAATCATCAACAATAGTCAAGAAAAAATGTGCACCATTTATAGATTTTTGGTGATATGGACCCCATATATCTATGTGAATCAACTCAAATATATAGGTTGATTGAATACTGCTTACAGGAAATTGCAACCTTGTTTGTTTTGAAAGTGGACATACATCACATGTCCTACTTCCTTTATTACATCTTTCAAGGAAATCTAAGTGTTCTAGAATTGAATCAGAAGGGTGTCCTAATCTCATATGCCACAGCTCATTGAGATCCCTTGAAATGAAGCTAGAATTGACAATTTCCTGAATCTTTGGTTGCAAAACGAAAGGATGATTGATATGTGTGTTGGTGAACTGAATGATGGTTTCTTTAGTGAAGGAATTTTGATCCAGGATATAGAGCCGGTTGATGACCTTCCCAACTGCCACAAGTTGGTTAGTCAGTCGGTCCTGCAAAAGGCAGAAGGTGGTAGAAAAGGAACAGTCAATACTAGAGGCCACTGCTAGTTTATTGACTGACAACAAATCATAGTTGAAGGTAGGAATATGTAGGGACTCAGGGAGTTCTAGGTTTTTGGAAAGCTCTACTGATCCTATGTTTTGTACTTGTTGGATGATACCATCGGGCAGATAGACAGGCATGATGCAAGAAACTGATTTATAATGTGTAAACAAGGAAAGGCTAGCAGTCATATGGCTGGTCGCACCACTGTCTAAAATCCATAGAACTTCAGCAATTTTCTCAATAGTACTCAACTTATGGAATGCGCTCATACCTACGAAGTCAGAGAAGTGTGCAAAATTGATCTGTTCCGTCTCCTTGCTGGTCATCTTTCCTTTGATCAGTCTTGTCACTTCCTGCTGCAAAGTATGTAAGTTGGTAAGAACACATTTCAGCTCTTTATCCTTGTGATTATCATTGGAGTCAAACAGTGTTTCAGCAACATGTGCAACATCTCTACTCATCCCTTGTTGTTTGATGTCTCTTGTTCCTCCTTTGTTGCATGGCCACCAGTCTGGGTAACCATGTAGTTTGAAGCATATTGCAGTTGAATGACCATTCACCTTGCAGTAGTCACAAAACAACAACTTCTTTGCAGCCTTATCCATTCTATAGTCATTCCCTTTTCCATAATTCTGATTTCCAAATCCCTGATTCCCTTGATATCCAACCTGTCCTATGACGGGAGAGCCACCTGAATTGTATCCTTGTAGTCCATTATTTGTTCCAGCATTTTCTTTATAACTGCTTGAACTTGTGTTTTGTTGATTACTCGGCTTTCTTGCACCATAAGAAGAATTGAAAGATCTTTTTCTTTGTGCAATCATTGCACTGTTATCACTAACATCTCCATAGATCAAGTTGACTTGTTGCTGTTTTTCGACATTGATCACCATGCCATATGCCTTTCTAACAGCTGGTAACGGTTCCATCATCAATATATTGTTCCTAACATCATTGTAGGAATCATTCAATCCTGTTAAGAACTGCATCAACTTAATTCTTTCTTCTTTTGATCCTTGCTGTCTGTTTCCATGGCAAGTGCATCCTCCACACGTACAACCACCACAAGTGCAATCATCTGGAGGATCTAAATGATTCAATTCATCCCACAAACGCTTCAGTTTTGCATAGTATGTTGCTAAGGACTGATTCCCCTGCTTGATTGTACAAATTTCTCTCCTTAATTTGTATGTGGCCAGGCCATTTCCAGTGCCATATCCTTCCTTTAATTCTTCCCACAGTTCCTTTGCAGTTCTAGCTAGGTTATAATTCTCAACAATTCCTGATGACAAGGAATTTAAGATCCAGGTCACCACCAAATCATTTACCCGTTCCCACTGTTCAAAATCCGATGAACGTGGGTGAGGTTTTGGCACAGCTCGGGTAACAAAACCGAGCTTATTCTTGGTTCCGAATGTTCGCTTGGCTGCATAACTCCAAGAAACATAGTTATCATCGGTAAGTAGCGTCGTTACCAGAGACATCGTCGATGCATCCGACGGCAGCAGCATTAAAGGATGTACATATCCTCCATAATTCAAAGCTTCAGTATCTGAACGCCGAAAATCTTCTTCGTCTTGCTCTTGATCCCAATCTTCATTTCGGCGATCTCTGTTCCTTCTCAGCCATTCTATTAATTTCCCTTCGATTTTACAGAACTTCTTTAACAGATTTTTGGAATCAAACTCTGATTTCCGACTGATATAGAGCAGGATGAGCCTGCTCTGATACCATCAAGAAATGACAGGCAAACAACTTGAAGATCAAAGACAAACAATGAATGAATTCTAAGGTTCTTGCTGCGGAAGCATTTTCTTCAAATTGGGGATAATTCAACTAACTCTGTACAAACCGTATATGGCAGTATTTATACACAAAACTAACCGACCTATTGTTTTAGTATTTACAACCATGTCCTCATATGTACATTAATAACTAAAAGGACCCTAATATTCACAAGTCTACTTTCTGTGAAAACCGGCATCAATCAGGCTCCAATTCCTTGATGTTCGGCTCATCATCAAACTCTACAGGATTGTGGTCCTTTGATCATCATGTTATGCGGCTTCTAAAATGGACGCCGGAGTTTAATCCGGAACATGAGTCGTCCATCGCTCAGTTTGGGTTGCTTTGGAAGGTTTGCCTATATATAGATTTAATGAAGAATATTTGCGAAAATTGGCCGGAATTATTGGAAAGCCCTTGAAGATTGATGTCCCCACTTTGAATATGTCTCGGCCTTCACTTGCACGGGTGTGCGTTGAAGTAGATCTTCTTCATGATCTTCCGAATCGAATCAGACTTGGGACTATGGAGAATTCGTATTTCCAGCCAATAAAATATGAAAACCTCCCTGATTATTGTTTGGAGTGCAGAAAGATCGGTCATTCGACGCTGAATTGTCGACATGTCAACCAGGGAAAGCAATCAGAAAAAATAAAGCCAAGTAGAGGAGTGAAGGCGGTGGAAAATCCTGCTGAGAACGTTTCATGAATAAAAACACATCTAGGGCTTCTGTCGCAAAGCAAGTCTGGAAGAATAAAGAGGTTCCTGTTACTAACACTACTGCTGATGTGAAAGTAAATGAAGCTTCAACCTCAGGTTTAACGGCGCAGGAAAAGGAAACAATACAGATTGATGTTGCTCCTTCAAGTCCGCAGTCCAAGCAAGCTTCCTCAGCAAAAAGACGTTTTTCAAAGGAACAATTGGTATCTGCGATGCAGAAAAATCAACTGAATGAGGTTTCTTTGGACTTTAATGCAGAAGAAGTTTCAGCAATCAGATAAGAGAAAGAGTACTCAGAAAGACAACTCGTATTATATCAAGAGCCGGTTCGGTCGTTGTCGCAGCTTGGTTTGAATTCACGTTTTCAAGTTCTGGCAGAAATTCAGGAAGAGGAAAACACGAAAGATGATAACAAGGAGGAAATGCATGCTACTGACTCCATTCTGGAAGTTGAGGAGGAAACCGATTCTGAGGCTGAGATGGTCTCCGTAGAAGTACTTGATGAAAAGCAAATTTCAGAAAAAGGATTAAGGCTTTCTCAGGATGATAATGGCATTGGAGAAAAGGACGATTCTACAGCTATGGTGGACGAAAGATTAGTTGCCTCTGATGATGAAGGTCAGAAGAAAAAAGTGGGTAGACCTAAAGGATCCACCAAAGCCGGCAAAAGTATTGGTCCCAAAACTCGCACTTCAGCGAGAATTCAAAGTGATCCCGCCTCCAAAATTTATCAATGAATAATCATCTAATCTGGAATGTGCGTAGAATTGGAAATGAAACGTCGAGAAGGCGGCTCAAAAACTTGGTAAAATCTCACTCATTGTCGTTCGTAGTTGTCTTGGAACCAGTGTTGCCGGATACACAACTTGAAGAGTTGAAACGGTATTTAAATATTTCTACAGCATTGGCATCTTCTACTAGTAAAATTTGGATAGTAAGTTCTGATTCTTGGACAATAAATCTGTTGGGAGGCACTGAACAGGTATTACATGTCGAGCTAGTGAATACAAAAAATCTAAGCAAGCTTCTATATTCTGCGGTGTATGCGAAATCCTCAAGGTTGGAGAGAAACTCACTATGGTCTGAATTGCTAAGCTTCTATCAACAGCATCCTAAAGAACCATGGATGGTCGGGGTGATTTTAATGTTATCCGAAATCTTGACGAGTATCAAGGAAATGCGCAACCCTGACCAAGGTGCAATTGACGATTTCAATAATTGGATCAATGCTTGTAGCCTTTTTGAGCAAAATCCTTTAGGGAATTCTTTCACTTGGGCTGGTAATAGGCAGAATGGAAGAGTACCGAAAAGGTTGGATCGAATTCTTTTTACTCCAGAATGGATGGAGCTTTTTCCCATTGCCTCGGTTCATTCCCTTAAGTCGACTAACATCAGACCATGCTCCGATTCTACATCAATTTAAAAATGAAGAAGAAAAGCGACCTTGTATGTTTCGTTTCCAGCGCATGTGGATGCGAAGGAATAGCTTCATGAAGGTGGTTGTAGAAAACTGGAACATTCCAATAAATCAGCGAGGGTTGATGGCTTTCTCGTGGAAATTGAGACGACTTAAGAATTGTTTGAGAGAGTTGAATAAGCAAGAATATGGGAATGTATTCGAGAATTTACAAGAGGCAGAAAAAGTGGTTCAAAATAAAAAGGCTTAATATGATCGAACGGGTGTGATTGCGGATAGAATTCAGCTTCACCAAGCACAAGCTACCTCCTCAATAAAATACGTGAGCATGAAGATTTTTTACAACAAAAGGCTCGACTGAAATGGTTGAAGGATGGAGATGCTAACTCTACTTTTTTCCATGCTTCATTTCTAGAAAAAAAAGTAGGACTTGGCATCCACAAAATAAGAAGGGCTGATGGAGTTTGGACATCAAAAAAAGAGGAAATTGAACAGGAGGCTATTTCTTTCTTTCGCAACCTTCTTGCACAGAATGAGAATGATAAAGCAACTTAGTGACTTAGGATAATATTCTAAAATGCATCCCAAACTTAGTAACTTCGGAGGAGAATGCACACTTGCTGGCTGAGCCATCTTTGGAGGAAATAAAGCAAGTAGTGTTCGGTCTTGATCCTAAAAGCGCACCAGGGAGTGATGGATTTGGTGGAGACTTTATTCAGCAATGTTGGCCGATAATTAAGGATGATTTAAGATTGGCATGTCTGGATTCCATGGCGGGTTTCCCCCTAGCTGAGGCGATTGGAAGCACCTTAATAACTTTAACCCCGAAAAAAAGTACGTCCACATCTTTTACGAATTTTCGCCCGATAAGTTTGTGTAATTTCTTGAATAAGGTGCTCACTAAACTGCTCACAGAAAGTTTAAAGGTGATTCTTCCAAAACTGATATATGAGGAACAATCCGTATTTTTGGAAGGACGGGACATCATGGATAATGTTCTATTGACAAAGGATCTTCTCCAATTCCTAGATCATAAAATGAGGGGCGGAAACTTGATTCTAAAGATTGATATGATGAAAGCTTTTGACAGAGTGTCGTAGAGTTTTGTACAACAAATAATGCTCAAATTTGGTTTTCATTCGCATTTTGTTTCCCTAATAATGTCAAATCTCTCTAGGAGCTGGTTCTCGATCCTCTTAAATGGGAGTCCAACAGGCTTCTTTCAGGCGTCTCGGGGGATTAAGAAAGGGGATCCGTTGTCACCTTATCTCTTTATACTTGTGACGGAAGCCCTAACACGGAATATGAAGGGTTAAATGGAGGCTGGAAAAATTGCTACATATGGAGTTCCCACAGGGTCCTTAATTGTGTCACACTTAAGCTTTGCAGATGATCTTATTATCTTCTCAAAGTGTTTGAAGAACTCAATGATGCACTCCAACAACTTTTTCAAAGAATATAAGGAGGCAACGAGACAAAAAATGAAAAAAGGCAAGAGTAATTTCTTGGTCTTGGACAAGAGTAGTGCGGATCCCATTCAAATGGTAGCTGAAACTTTACAAATGCCGCAAGGTACTCTTCCTTTTAAATATTTGGGTTGTTACATTTTTAAAGGTTGAAAAAAGGTTGAGTATTTTCAACATCTTCTAGACTCTTTTGAGATGAAATTGGGGAATTGGAAGAATAAAATGCTTTCTCCGGGAGGAAGAATAGTTTTAATAAAGCATGTTCTTTCGACAATTCCAATCCACACAATAGCTGCAATCTCACCTCCAAAGTCGGTAATGGATGACTTAGAAAGAAAATGTCAATGTTTCCTATGGGGTGATATAGAGTTTGGGAGGAAAGGCCATTAGAGGGCTTGGAAAAAAATCACTTTCCCAGTAGCGAAGAATGGTTTGGGGTTTCGAAAATTTTTGAGTAATGAAAATACTAACCCCCTTGGCCGAATTTAATGGTTAGGGAATGTTTTGCTTTTTTCTAGCAGGAATTGAAGGACTTTTTGCATCCGCATGCATTCACGAGTTTATCATCCATGACTGCGGTGTTAAATGAGGAGGTGGACTACTATGCGTGCAAACTGAGTTCAACAGGGAGTTTCTCAATCTCAACAACTTACTCAGAAATTAGAGCAAAAAGGGAGGAGATCCCTAGCCTGAAAAATTATTAGAATAAACTTTTACCTTTGAAAATTTTTTTTTTTATGTGGAAATTATTTAACCATTTGTTGCCTTTTCCAGAAATTCTACATAGATTGGGATTCCACTCATGTCCATCAAGATGTCCCTTTTGCCAAGAAAAGGAAAAATTGGCGGATCTACCCAAAGTTTTACATGTACCGTCAATTCTACCCTATTCTTTTTCGGTTAGCCAATATTACCCTAAACTATCCAACCGTTAGCCGATTTTGTCCAATTTGCTATTTTCCGTTTAAATTAACGGAATTTTATTTTTTTTAATTACAAAAATACCCTAATAGTTTTAAAAATTTATAAAAAAAACCTCCAAAATATAAAAAACTACAAAATAGTCTCTTTTCAGTTTTTATTTAAATTTTTCTTTTTTTTTAATTTCTTTTTACTATTTTTCATAACCATAAAATATACTATATGATCTATTAATTAAATAATTTATTTTTAAACAATACAATACAAATTTATAGATATACATTTTGTAACTCATGATTGATTTACATAAATATATTAACTTTTTTAATAATATGGATAGAAAATAATGATATTATTCTTTTAATCCATTTTTTCAATTTAAAGAATAAGATTTTTTTGACTAAAACTAATTTTTTACAAAATATAAAAACATTTAGCATAGATTAAAAAAATATATTAGTACATTTTAATTTATTGCAAATTAACTAAACAGATTATAAATTGTATTATCTAATTAAAAAAATTATTAAATTAAAATATAGGATACTGTCTAGTGTTTAGGGTGGTAAGTTTCGTGAGAGTAGATATAAGATTAATTATCACCAAAGTATTTCTAAGCAAGAAAGTGATTTTACCACATCTAAGCGGGATCCACCAAAGGTAACAGGGTTGCATTAGATGGTTAGGTGATTTAAGATATGAGATGATTAAAACTGTGTTCGAGGTTCGATTCTCACTGGAGAAATCTAATTTTCTTTTTTAATGTTAAAAAAAAAAGTGGAGTCCAGTACTGGAGTTTTGTTTATTATTTTTTTAAAAAAACATTTCCTGCTAAAGTTAGATATATTAATTCTCAAAACACTATCACAAAATGTTAAACTCACGCAGTAATAAATATACATATTTTTTATAAAATATTTTGCTCCATTTTTGTAAATGCCATGACACTATATTCTTGTGTTGGGCCAACGTAGAAACAAAATAGGTGTTTTTTTTTTTACTTTCTATCTGTACTTGGCCTTTTAAAATAAATTTATATTTTAGTTTTGATTTCTTTTTGAATTTTAAAATACAATCTAAAGTCAGTTGAATTAAATTATAATACATTAAAGTATACCAATAGATTTTTTTTAGTCTATGCGAATTGTTTAATTTTTATGTGAAAAATTAGTATTAGTTAAATAATCTTATTCTTTAGATTGAAAAAAATGGATTAAAAATAGTATCATTATTGTTAAACTATATTATTAAAAAATTAATATGCTTATGTAAATCAAACTTGACATACAAATATGTAAATAAAAATTTGTACATTAAAGTTTAAAAATAAATCTATTTTTTTAAAAGATCATATAGTATATTTTTATAGTTATGAAAAATATTTGAAAGAAATAAAAAATAAAAAATTTTAAATAAAAACTGAAAATATACTATTTTATAATTTTTTTAAAATTTTGGGGTCATTTTTATTAAATTTTAAAACTATTAGGGTATTTTTATAATTAAAACAAATATAATTCCATTAATTTAGACGGAAAATAGCCAATTGGACAAAATCGGTTAACGGTTGGACAGTTTAGGGTAATATTGGCTAAGCGAAAAAGAATAGGGTAGAATTGACGAAGCATGTAAAGCTTTGGATAGATTCGCCAATTTTTCCGCCAAGAAAATGAAGAAAATATTGATCATATATTCTATGGTTGCGCAAAGGTAAGCCAGATATGGAATAATTTTGCTTCTCAATTAGGCATTTTTTCTCCTAACTATGCAGGATGGTGGGGCAATCTTCAAGCTTGGCATGCGGTTGGGAGCTACAGAATGGTAAGGAAAACAATTATCATGGTCATACCAGTTTTTCTACTATGGGAAATATGGAAATGCCGTAATAAAATTATACAGGAAGGTATAATTTTCTCCTCAGAAAATCAGTTGT